TCTAAGATACTATTACTACTACCGGTTCCATTTGACAGCTGTGAATGAATGAATGAATGGATGAATGAATGAATGAATGAGTGAATGAATGAACGAAGAATGAATGAATGAATGAATGAATGAATGAACGAAAAAAAATCAATATATGAATGAATGAATGAATGAACAAATGAATAAACGTGTGAATGAGTGAACGAACGAAAGAATGAATAAGCTCCATTTAAAATATTCTAACCAAGCCACTGTCAAATGACCCGGAACTGTTTCTGTTGTCCCCTGGATTTTGTGGATTGTTGAAAAAAAAAATTATCAACATTTATAACATCAACAACAACAACATCATCAACAACAACAACAACATCGACAACATCAACAACAACATCGACAACAACATCAACAACAACAACATCAACATTAACAACATCATCAACATCAACAACACCAACAACACCAACATCAACATCGTCAACAACTACAACATCCATAACATCAACAGCAACAATGTTGGGGAGAAGTTGTTGTGATGGCAGTGGCCATTCCCATTAAATTAGAGCTAGTGGAAGTTTAAACAACTACAACAAACAACAAAAACATCGACAACAAACAACATTCAACAACAACAACTACAAAAACAACAACAACCACAAACAATAACAACAACAACAACACACGTTTAGACGACATTCACATCTGTCACTCGGCAGAATGAATGAATAAAAGAAAAATTGGCTCATCAACAAGATTCATCAACAACAACAAACAACAACATTTCCAACAGCTTCAAAAAGACCGACCCGAACTCAGCGCATTAGGAAAAGAATCGTAAGTAGTAAATTGCTGGAGTTGTTGTTGATGTTGTTGCTGCTGTTGTTGCAACAAGGCATGCTGCAACACTTGCTGTTGCTGCAACAAAAAACTTTGTTGCAGCTGAGGCAACACTTGAAATTGCAGTTGATGTGGCTGTTGTTTTAGCGGCGGCGGCGGCGCTAGATGTCGCTGCTGTAGCAGCTGCAGATTCGCGAACTTTTTACAATCAGCTCCTCCAACAGCATCAGCAACATCAACGGCGATCCCAGAGTCCTTGCTGTGCCTGTTCAGACTGGACGACGATGAAGTGGCTGACGACGCTGCAGCAAGCGACGACGCTGCAGCTAGCGACGACGCTGCAGCTAGCGACGACGCTGCAGCTAGCGACGACGCTGCAGCTAGCGACGACGCTGTTGATGATGAGGATGAAGACAGTGGCTTCTTCGACGACTGTAATGATGAGGACGACGACGATGACGCTTGTAGCTCTTGAAGTTCTTGAAGCGTCGTTACTGGCGATTTGGTGGTAGTCGCAGAGGTGATCGACTGGTTGGAGTAATTATTTGGTAACGCAAACCAACCATAGTTCACGTAACTTGGATAATTCAGATTGAAGAGGGAGAGATTTAGGTGTGACGACACCAACAATGATGATGATGATGATGATGAAGATGGTGACGGTGAAGACGATGAGGACGGCAACGATGATGGTAAATTGGTGGTGGTGGTGGAAGTGAAGTTGGTGGCGGTGGCCAGTTGTGGTGAGATGTTGGGGAGGTTTAGATGAGGGTTCATCACCGTCGTCTGTGGCTGCTGATGATGATGATGAGTGGTGAAAGATTGGCGCGGGGGCGGGAGGGGGCGTTTTGAAAGGTGATGGTGCTGTTGTTGTCTGTTGCTGTTGTTGTTGCTTTCTTCTTGCAGGCGAAGTAGTTCCATTTCGTTTATCTGTTGTTGTTGATGATGATGATGATGTTGTTGTTGTTGTTTATGATGATGATGATGATGATGACGACAATATCAACGATGATGATGGTAATGATGATGATGAAACTGATGATGGTGATGATGATGGTGATGATGATGATGAAACTGATGATGATTATGATGATGAAGAAACTGATGATGATGGTGAAACAGATGATGATGGCGATGATGATGATGCACGTACCATAGCATACTGATTACGACGATAACGATACGATGATGATGGTGATGATGATAATTGGTCATGATGGTGATAACGCTGATGATGATGATGATGATGATGGTGGCCGTGAAGATGACGACGATGAAGATGAAGAAGATGAAACTATTACACGTAATAAGGCTGTTTTTTAGACTCACAAACCTATAAACACACACACGCACACACACGCATCAAGCCAAGCTAGTCATAACAAAATATTATTATTTGCAACTCAGTGCATCTTATCGCGTTTTCGACCAAAAAAACGAAAGAGAAAGAGAGAGAGAGAGAGAGAGAGAGAGAGAGAGAGAGAGAGAGAAAGAGAGAAAGAGAGAGAGAGAGAGAGAAAAAGAGAGAGAGAAAGAGAGTTAGAGTGATGGATAGGCAGTGGATAAACAGATGAATAGATTGATGGATAAATGGCTAAATGATTGGATAGATAGATAGATAGATAGATAGATAGATAGATAGATAGATAGATAGATAGATAGATAGATAGATAGATAGATAGATAGGTAGATAGATAGATAGATAGACAGACAGACAGGCAGATAGAGAGAGAGGAAGAGGAAAGCTGAGGAAGAAGATAAAAAAAAAGAAAGCAAGAGAGAAAGAGAGAGAGGAGAGAGAGAGAAAAAAAAAACTCAACACATGCTCAACGGCCTTGGTTCAATTGCGCGTCGGGTCAACGAATTCAATATCAGGTATATTCGTTTACACGTGTGTGTGTGTTTGTGTGTGCGTGTGCGTACAACAACACAAACGAAACGGTAAGTACTTACGTACTGTCGGTCTAATCTAATTCTTTAATTCATCCTTCATTCAATTATTAATCATTCACTCATTTATTCTTCTAGATGCTATCGTCAAATTTATTCACTCACTCGCTTATTTATCTACCTTGTCGTTCGTTCGTTCGTTCACTCATTCATTCACTTATTCACTCACTCACTCACTCATTCACTCACTCGTTCATTCATCATTCATCCACTCAGCCATTTATAGTTCTTAATCATATCTTCCCAATGATGAAATTTTAAATACAAGTATTGTTAGTGTTAATAATTTTAGTAAAAACAACAACAACAACATCATCATCTAATATTACTACTTGTAGTAGTAGTAGTAGTAGTAGTACTACTACTACTACTACTGCTACTACTACCACTGCTACTACTACTACCACTACTACCACTACTACTACTACTTCTACAATTACTACTACAACTACTACTAAAACAACAACAACAACATTATTATTATTATTATCATCATCATCATCATCACATTAGCGCGGTGGTTTTCCTATAAAATGTTATTTGGCAATAAAAGACGATGCCGTTCTTTTATTATAACACACACACACGCGCACACGCGCACACACACACACACGCACACACACACACATATATATATATATATATAAATATATATATGGGCGATATATATATATATATGCATATATATATCGCCCATATATATATTTATATATATATATAGGCGATAAATTTCTTAACCTAAGCCAGCACATATATATATATATATATCGCCCATATATATATTTATATATATATATATATAGGCGATAAATTTCTTAACCTAAGCCAGCACACCTTAACAGAGAAGCAAAAAAAAAATTTTTGAACCGCGAAGTCAATTGCCACAACATTAAAAAAAAAACCTAACTATACTGGAACATCAATCGAAGTTGATAAGTTAATGAGTAATATGATATTACATGCCAGGACAGATAATAACCGACCCCTCATTAGCAGTTGAACTGCAGAGTGCAAACAGAGACAAAGAAACAACGAGGCAAATTTCTTAGCCATCTGATATGTATGTGAATCTACATATCCCTTTTGGCAGAATGTTTCATATCTCTGATTTATGAATATACACCTATATATACATATATAGGTGTATATTCATATATGTCTTGTATATATATGAATATACACCTATATATACCTACAACATCGCTAACTAGACGCCTGACCATGCACAATGGAGAAGGTTCTATAAAAACACACTTAGAACACACACAGAAAATATTAAAATTACAAGAGAAATCCTTGACAACAACACCAAAATAATATACTGTAACTCTAGCCATTCCTATCTGGAATTAGCCTAAGCTATTCTCATCGACATGAAACAACCCCTGATAAACAACAGCAACAAATTTTAACAACACTCCCGACAAGAAGAATAATAATAAATAATAGAATATATCAGCAACAACAATGGTACCGATGAAGACACCGAAGAGAGCAACAAGTAATGATAACATAGTAACTTTCTGATCGTTTAACTACCGAGTAAAAGTTAGAAAAACACCTCTAAAAATTTAATTGAATGAAAACTACAATAACCTGGGTGGTACCGCGGCATAAGATTGTTACTGTTTAAGCGCTCACTCAAGACCAACCAAACAACACGTTCAAGGACTTTGGACAGAAAAGATAGATTCGAAATTGGTCTAAAATTTTTAGCATCAGATTTATCCAAACTAGGTTGTTTTATTTTTCAAAATCAGAATAACAACAGCATGTTTGTGGCGTTGTGGCTAAAAAAAGATTAATCATTCCAGTCATGAAAACAAGATAATAATCTAAATATTCTTTAAAGATACGAATCGGTTAATAAACTAATAAATAAACTATAATAAACTCGTTTTTGTGGGAGACGAACGACATAATAATTTCTTTGACCTGCTTTTCAGAGAGAATAGGAAACAATTTCAACTTCCTAGTTATTCTATCACACAGACTAATTGAGAGATATCCGATATCCAAAATGCTCAGTAGATTTTTCTACATTTAATATTTTGCCTGTAAAGTGATTCATAAATTCATTGGCTTCGTGAGCTTGACCTGACTCGTTATTTACAACATCTTCATTTGATTTTGATTTTGTTCATAGTTTGCTAAAGTCTCTTTGGTTGGCGACGATACCGCTCAACACAAGCCTTCTAAAAAAATTTTCTTTTTTGTTGAATAACATGCGTTACGAGTTTTAATAGTTTTAATTTATACTTCTTTATCACCGGTTGACAAACTAGTTCGGTATTTTTTTTCATGGAATCGAAATAATTTTTTAATTTGAAGACATTCACTGTCAAACCATTTTGCAGATGGGACTTGTCTCCATTCAGTTGGCCGAAGGAGAGCAACTATATCAGCTTTTGCAGAAAGCCCTCAATTAAATAACATACAATTTAGTTCCACATCATCATTTTCAATACGCTTAAAGATAGGTGAAGATTCCAACAACGAAACCAAACGTTTTTTCGTCAAGACGACCCCAAGATCTAACAAATGATATTTTTTTAACAACGTCTGAACAACTGAGTAAGAATCGACCAGTAACAAGACAATGGTCAGAAGCAATACCTGACGGGTAGACTATGCAATGGACATGTATCTGAGGTGATAATTAAATCTAAAGTGCCGCCTAAATCGTGCGATGGTCCAGTAACTCTGTTTGTCAAATGGAAAGTATCAAAGGCATCAAAAAGGGAGACTGAATTAGGGTCAGAAGGATTTTCAACGTGAATGTTAAAATCACCTGCTACAACAATGAATCAACTTAAGATGGAAATTTGTGAGTTATTCAAATAATAATTTGGTAAGGTGGGCTGAGCCGGCCTATAAATTCCTATAATAATAATAATAATTATAGATTAGTCAAGGACTGTTAGACGAAAACCTATAGCCCCGAAAATTTTAAACAATGGTAATGTTATTTCACTGTATTTAAAGTTAGATTTAAAATAAATTACTATATACATGTACATATACGAAAAAGAACTGAACGGAACGGCTTACTATTACAATGTAGGTATAAAAAATTGTTATTATTATTACTATTATTATTATTGTTATTATTATTATTGTTGTTATTATTATTATTGTTGTTATCAAGTTTTTTTTTGTTCGCGATTTAAATTTCATCCGTTGGTTTGCCTAAATGTTGCTGCATAATGGTTAAGTTACATAAACACGCATACAACACACACACACACACACACACACACACACACACACACACACACACACACACACACACACACACACACACACACACACACACACACACCTGTTAACAATATTATATATATATGTGTGTGTGTTTTTATGTATGTGTGTATGCGTCTGTATGTGTGTATTGTACGTTAAAACCAACACATGATGTATGTATGAGTGAATGTATGTGTGTGTATGTATGTATGTGTATGTATGTGTGAATGTATGTATGTATGTATGTGTATGTATGTGTGAATGTGTGCCTGTTTGTTTGTATGTGTGCGTGCGTGCGTGTGTATGTATGTGCGTACAAGAAAAATTCTCCCTCTGAAAAAGCAAGGCAAAAAATTTTTGTTAACCTTGATAATTTCAAAGGGGAGAAATAAACAAATCAAAAAATAATGAATGAATGATTAAATAAATGAATGAATGAAAGAGTGAATGTGTGAGTGACGGAATGAATAAATGAATGAATGAAAGAGTGAATGTGTGAGTGACGGAATGAATAAACGAATGAATGAAAGAGTGAATGTGTGAGTGACGGAATGAATAAACGAATGAATGAAAGAGTGAATGTGTGAGTGACGAAATGAATAAATGAATGAATGAAAGAGTGAATGTGTGAGTGACGGAATGAATAAATGAATGAATGAAAGAGTGAATGTGTGAGTGACGGAATGAATAAATGAATGAATGAAAGAGTGAATGTGTGAGTGACGGAATGAATAAATGAATGAATGAAAAAGTGAATGTGTGAGTGACGGAATGAATAAATGAATGAATGAAAGAGTGAATGTGTGAGTGACGGAACGAATAAATGAATGAATGACTGAGTGAATGAATGAACGAATGAATGAATTAACTTCTAAAATGAACTTACAAAGGTCCGCAACAAATCTAACAAATTTTCAAGTTTGTTCTCGAATGAATGAATGAATGAAATGATAAATGAATGAGTGAATGAACCCACAAACAAGCAAACGAATGAACAAACAAACAAATAAACAAATGAACTAAAAAAGAAGGATTAAATAAAAGAACGAACGAATGCGTGATCTTACGGAATTCCGATAACATTTTTCATGTTCTTAATGAATGAATGAACTATTGAGTGAACGGATAAACGACTAAACGAACGAACGAACGAACGAACAAATGAACGTGTGAATGACAGAACGAACAAAATAAACAAACAAATAGACAAAGAATGAATGAAAGAACAAAAAATGAATTAACAACCTCAAACGTAGACTCATTAATTTCGAACACAAACATTTCAATCTATAAGTTGGTTCACGAATGAACGAACGAATCAACAAATGAATTGAAAGAATGACAGAACGAACGAACAAACAAATGAATGAAAGAAAACAAGAGAAAGGAAAGAAAGAAAGAATGAATGAATGAATGAAATAAACAAAGAAATAACCTCCGATAAAGATTCATTAACATTTCACTTAAGTTCGTTCATGAATGAACAAATGAACAAACAAACGAACGGACGAACGTGTGAATGACAGAACGAACGAACGAACGAATGAATAGAAAGAAGGAAGAACGAAAGAATGAAATAAAGGAAGAAATAACCTCCAATATAGATTCATTGAGGTCTGAGACAAACTTCTTAAGTTCGCCATCGTCTTTGGCACAAAATGTCACAAGGACCGAGCCATCACAGCCGTTTACCAACTGCATACCATTTGGACAATCTAAATTATTATATTAAATATTATTAAGTTATTTTAATATAAACAATATTAAATTATTATATAATATCATTATTTATAGATATAATTACGAATATTATTAATTATAATTATTATTATTAAAATAAATAGTTATCATTACTATTATATTATGATATAAATATTTCATTCGCGTTGTTTAATAAATGTGGCTTAATTATGTACCACTACTACTGCTGCTACTACTACTACTACTTTTACTACTACTACTACTGCTGCTAATAATAATAATTAACAATAGTAATAATAATAATAATAATAACTAGTGATAATTTAAAATAATAAAAAACAAAGAAAAAAAAATTGAACAAACATGGCAGATCAAATAGAACGATTTTCATGTGTAGGAGAGGAAATGACTCCCGGAAGTTGTACGTAAGCACGTTCTTCTTCCGGTTGCATAGTTTCGTTATCTGATTGGTTGGTTGATCAGTTGATTGGTTGGTAAGTTGATTGATCAGTAAATTGGTTGATTGGTTGATTGATTGATTGATTGATAGGTTTGATTGACTTAATGGTTAAAAGACTGATCAATTGAACCTTCCTCAAATAAGAATGTCTTTAGACTAGGAAATACAACTTCCAAAATTTTATAAAAAAAAAAAACTCCATTAACAATAGAGATCCTATCCCACTAATTACGACCATGACGAAAGGCCCCCTAAATAACTTCCTCCTAAGGCTCTCATATGAAAACTCAACTCAGTCTTGGGAAAGCCCTATCACCCCCCCCCCCTCCAACACATACCACCAGTAGATCGTTAAAGAGGAAGACGTCTCTTTGATGTCTACCGCCGTCCTTATCTTTTCTCATGAGCATCGGATCGAAGACCTCAAACAAGCGGCAGTAGCAGACGAGGCGACGGTGTGGCTGGACTAGGAGCTGTTGTGGTGGTGGTGGTTGTAGTGGTGATGTTTGTTGTGGTGGTGGTGGTTGTAGTGGTGGTGGTGATGTTTGTTGTGGTGGTTGTAGTAGTGGTGGCTGGACTAGGAGCTGTTGTGGTGGTGGTGATGGTGATGATGTTTGTGGTGGTGGTGGTGGTTGTAGTGGTGGTGGTGATGTTTGTTGTGGTGGTGGTTGTAGTGGTGATGTTTGTTGTTGTGGTGGTGGTTGTTACGTGAGGATGATAATCGCAATGACAACAAAACAAAACAAAATGGCTATAAAGACGAGCTATATAGCAATTATAATTGTTAATCATCAAAAAAACAGAAATAAATCTTTCAAAAATGTACCCCAGACCAAATAATCCCTCAAGCCTAACTATCCTTCAAAAATACCCCTCCTAAAAACGTACCCCCCTATTTACCCTGCCCCCTAACCGGTTTCTTGCCGGCAATCATGGCGTCGACCTTGCTGACCTGGGTGACATGGTCGTTGGAGGGTTTAAGCGGGCAGGTAGAGATCCGACGGTAGATATCGCTCAGATAGCCGGGGTCAACGTCCTTCCCATTGTCTATGCCTTAGTGGGAAAGGTCAAAGGTCAGTTATAATAATCCCGACTCCTTAGCCTTTGCGCTATCTCACCGCCTCTTATAATAAATTATGATAATAATAGGGGTAGTAGTTGAGCCTACCCCTTAGATTCTTGACGAAATCTTCCATCCTCATCTTCTTTTCCACCTTGATGTTTCGGTTGTGGAGGTCCGTGTTCAGCATGACGACAGCGTAGGAGAGCAGGAAGATGGTGTCCACGTTCTTCAGAGTCCCACTGGGATTGGAGTTGTAATAACTCGTTGAGAAAGCCTAAGTGTATGTTTGCGTTTGCGTGTGTGTTTGCGCGTGTGTGTGTACGTGCGTGTGTGTGTGTGTGTGAGAGAGAGAGAGACAGAGAAGAATGCAGTGCTAGTGATTATTTAGTCGAGCTTTCAATAGGTAGCCTATGGCATTAACGAATAGAACTATTTTGAAAAAGTTTGCCGCGCATGTGCGGGCTGAAGACGTGCATTCTTATATTTGATTTTTTACTAAAACTATTAGCTATGATGCGCTACAATAAGATAATCCAATTGGAACATGATCGGTTGACTTTTATTTTTTTTTACATACAAAGAGTGACCCACCCTATTGTTCACTGCTTTCTTAATAACGTTAAAGCACCCACGTCTCTGATCTCAAAGAACTGATAAGTTGCCTCTGACCTCAAAAGATGCCTCTGACCTCAGAAAACTGATAAGATGCCTCTGACCTTAAAAGATGCCTCTGACCTCAGAAGATGCTTCTGACCTCAAAAGATGCCTCTGACCTCAGAAGATGCCTCTGACCTCAAAAGATGCCTCTGACCTCAGAAGATGCCTCTGACCTCAAAAGTTGCCTCTGACCTCAAAAGTTGCCTCTGACCTCAAAAGATGCTCCTGACCTCAGAAGATGCCTCTGACCTCAGAGAACTGATAAGATGCATCAAGCAAGCCACCACCCACCTCTGTCAGGCTACACTCAAAATACACTCAAAAAATTTAAGACGAACGCCATAATTCAATCGTTTGATATCTATTACACCAGGGACAACTTGTGACTAGGTTTTTCGTATATGGAGATGCTGGATGAGCATTTTAGGATCCTTCATAATGACGTCATCTAAATCGTCACCAACAATTCTCTCTCTTTTCTTATTGACGGATTGCTTTTTTTTTATTTTAAAGTCGACTTTTTTTAATAAAAAAAGTTTTTATTATTATTATTATTATTATTATCAATATTTTAGATTAAATAGGATTTTATAATTATTTCATTATTAATATTTGGTATTTGGAGTTAGAAAATAAAAGGATGTTCCCATTATTATTATCATTATTAATAGGATATGATTGGTCGTTTGAAATTTCCCCGCTGGATTTTTTTAAAATCTTTTAAACTATCATTAATTAGTTTTATCTGGTCTGACCATTTTCATAATTTAGTTTAATTAATTTATTAATTCATTATTTATTAATTTATTTAATATAAAAAGTTTAATTACCTCCGCAGTATCGTCATCTTACGCAATTTACTGTGATAGTAACAGGATTTGAACATAACTTAATGCTGATTCTATTTCTCTTTCTGCCATTTTAAATGTATGGCTAGCATTGTAGATTATCTTATAACTTACATTATAACTTTTATTACTTTAACTTTATGATTACAATGTGTGCCTTGAAATGAAAACAAGAGGATGTTCTCATCATTATGAATATAATAATAATAATAATAATAATAATTATTATTATTATTATTATTATTTGTGGTTTTATTATACAGTATAATGAAATTCTATTTTATTTTTATTTTATTTCCCCTATTGATTTAATTTAGTTTAAATTATTATAATTATTATTATTATTATTATTATTATTATTATTATTATTATTATTATTATGACCCTGACCTCCATCAGTCTCTCTATCTTCTGGGCCTCTCCCGGTAGCCTGAAGTAGGCTTGGAACTTCCTGAGGGCCTCGTCGATGGGGAGGTTGTGAAGGTCAATGCCGTTCACGAAGTGGCTGTGGTGGTGGTGATGATGATGATGATGATGATGTGGTGTGGTGGTGAAGACGATGATGTGGTACGGTGTGGTGGTGAAGATGATGTGGTGTGGTGTGATGATGACAATGATGTGGTGTGGTGTGGTGGTAATGATGATGTGGTGTGGTGTTGGTGGTGAAGTGATGATGATTATATTGATTACAAAGATGATTATTGTTATTATTATTATTGTTATTGTTATTATTATTATAGTAATGTTAATGATATGACTATGATAATCACAGATGATGATGGTGAAGAATGACGATCATACAACAACAACAACAACAACTACTACTACTACTACTACTACTACTACTACTACTACTACTACTACTACTACTACTACTACTACTACAACATATCAGTGAATTCCACCCCCTAAAATAATCCCCCCCCCCTTCCCACCTAACCCTGACACTGGCCCTAACCTCAAAACTTCCATATTCATGGGCCTTTGTAGATCACCCAGATAAACGCCAACCATCTGCTTACTTAGGCCCTTCCGGTTTAGCAGGAATCTCGCAATTGACTGGGGCTTGGAGTCGAGGAATTTGTGGGTCAGTAAAAAGTCTATGCCCTTGTTTGGTTTCCTGGAGAGAGAGAGAGAGAGGAGGGGGGTGATTTTTTTTTGGATGACGTCATTGTCATATTGAGTGATGTGATGATAATGCAACGTGATGTAATGATGATAATAATAATAATAATGATGATAATAATAATAATAATGATGATAGTAATAATAATAATGATAATGATAGTGATAATAATAATAATAATAATAATGATAATGATGAATTGATCTATAACCTGTTGAACAAATTCAATCCAATTCTGTACAATCTCTTGGTCTGGTTATCAGTCAGGCCTATTGGTCCTTTATTATTATTATTATTGTTATTATTATTGTTGTTATTATTATTGTTGTTGTTGCTGCTGCTGCTGTCAACTATGTTGCTATAAACTCCATTGCTACACGTGAAACTCCTAGCAATGTTGTTGCCAATACTGTTACTACTGAATCCGTCATAGTCCAGAGCCGATGACGTAATAATGGCACTGATGACCTCATTTCCGCTACCTAAACTGGCCGAATCAGACGCCGACGTTCTGTTGCTGCTGTTGTTGTTGTTGTAGTTGTTGATGCTGTTGTTGTTGATGCTGTTGTTGTTGTTGGTGGTGGTGCTGTTGGCTGTAGTTGTTTTTCGACGCCATACTGGAGATTG